AAGAACCAAGATGTAAATCTACCCACCTGTGGTCACATGATCTTTGACAGAGGCCTGAAGTCCATTATATGGGGAAAAGACAGTCTTTTTAACAAATAGTCTCTGGCAAAACTGAATGTCCATCTGCAAAAAAATGAAACAGGACTCATATCTCACACCATACAAAAAAACTAATTCAACATAAATCAAAGACCTAAATATAAAACCAAAAGCTATAAAGAGCATAGAAAAAAAATAAGGTCAATACTGGAGGCCCTAATACACAGCATAAATAGCATACAAACCATAACTAACAATACACAAACACCAGAAGATAAGCTAGATAACTGGGATCTTCTAAAGATTAAACATTTATGCTCATCAAAAGACTTCACCAAAAGGGTATAAAGAGAACCTACAGACTGGGAAAAATTTTTTGGCTATGCCAAATCTGAGAAAAGTCTAATCTCTAAAATCTGTAGGAAAATCCAATGCCTCTGCAACACAAAGACAAATAATCCAATTAAAAATGGGCAAAGTATATGAACTGACACTTCAGCAAGGACATTCAGGCAGTGTCTTGGTCATCTAGTGCTGCTCTAACAGAAATACCACAAGTGGATGGCTTTAACAAAGAGAAGTTTATTCTCTCACAGTCCACTAGGCTAGAAGTCCAAACTCAGGGTGCTGGCTCCAGGGTAATGCTTCTGTGTCTCTTGGCTCTGGAGGAAGATCCTTGTCATCAGTCTTCCCTTGGTCTGGGAGCATCTCAGTGCAGGGACCTCAGGTCCAAAGGATGCGCTCTGCACCCAGAACTGCTTTCTTGGTGGTATGAAGTCCCCATGTCTCTCTGCTCACTTCTCTCTTTTATATCTCAAAAGAGATTGGCTTAAGACACTATCTAATCTTGTGATCTCATCAATATAATTGCCGCTAATCCATTTTATTACGTCATAGTGATAGGATTTACAGCACATTGGGAAATTACAACAGATGACAAAATGGTAGACAATCATACAATACTGGGAATCATTTCCCAGCCAAGTTGACAGATATTTTTGGGGGACACAATTCAATCTATCACAGGCAGCTAATAGACACATGAGGAAATGCTGGTGATCACTAGCCATTAGAGAAATGCAAATCTAAACTACAGTGAGATGCCATCTCACCCCGACATTACTGGCACAAATCTAAAAAAACAGAAAATAACAAATATTGGAGAGGCTGTGGGGAACTTGGAACTCTTATACACTGCTGGTGGGAATGTAGAATGGTACAGCCATTTTGGAAAATGATATGGTGCTTTCTTAAAAAGCTAGAAATAGAAATACCATAAGATCCAGCAATCCCATTCCTAGGAATATATCCTATAGAAATAAGAGCTGTCAACGAATAGACATGCACACTCATGTTTGTTGCAGCATTGTTCACGATAACAAAAAGATGGAAACAACCTTCGTATCCATCAAGATAAACAAACTATGGTACGTACACACCATGGAATACTACGCAATGATAAAGAACAATGATGAATCTGGGAAACATCTTACAGCACGGATGAATCTGGAGGGCATTTTGCCAATTGTAATGAGTCAATCACAAAAGGACAAGTACTGTATGAGACCACTATTATAAAAACTCATGAAAAGATTTACATACAGAAGGAAACAATCTTAGATGGTTATGAAGGAGGGAAGGGGTGGGGAGGGAAAAACACTAACTAGACAATAGATAAGTGGTAATTTTGGTGAAGGGTAGGACACTACACAATTCTGGGGAAGTTAGCACAACTTGACTAAGGCAAGGTCATGGAAGCTTCATAGACACATCCAAACTCCCTGAGGGACTGAATTACTGAGCTAAGGGCCTAGGTCCATGGTCTCAGAGGACATCTAGCTCAATTGGCGTAACATAGTTTATAAAGAAAATATTCTACATCCTACTTTGGTGAGTAGCATCTGGGGTCTTAAAAGCTTGTAAGTAGCCATCTTACTCCATTGGTCCCACCCCATCTGGAGCAAGGGAGAATGAAGAAAACCAAAGACACAAGGGGAAGATTAATTCAAGGGACTAATGGACCACTACTACTACAGCCTCCACCAGACTGAGTCCAGGACAACTAGATGGTGCCCAGCTGCCACCACTGACTGCTCCGACAGGGAGCACAATAGAAGGTCTCAGACAGAGCTGGAGAAAAATATAGAACAAAATTCTAACTCACAAAAAAAAGACCAGACTTACTGGTCTGACAGAGACTGGAGAAATCCCGAGAGTATGGACCCTGGACACCCTTTTAACTCAGTTCTAAGGTTACTCCTGAGGTTCATCCTTCAGTTAAAGATTAGACAGGCCCATAAAACAAAATGAGACTAAATGAGGACACCAGCTCAGGGGCAGGGACGAGAAGGCAGGAGGGCACAGGAAAGCTGGTAACGGGAAACCCAAGGTTGAGAGGGCGAGAGTGTGACATGTTGTGGGGTTGGCAACCAGTGTCACAAAACACTATGTGTATTAATTGTTTAACGAGAAACTAATTTGCTCTGTAAACCTTTGTCTGAAGTGCAATTATAAGCGAAAAAGAAAAAAAAGAGCTCTCACAAGCCTTTGAGGCCCCAGACGCTACTCACCAAAGTTAAAAAAAAGAATGACAGTATTTTTTTTAACATAACTCCAATAACATTATCACATCTAAACATTCCTTGATATCGTCAAATATCCAGACAGTGTTCAAATGTCCTCAGTTGTCTCATACTTTTTTTTAATTGTGATAAATACATAAATAACAAAACATTTACTATTTTGACAGTCTTCATATGTGCAGTTCAGTGACATTAAATATGCTCATCATGTTGTTTGACCACCATTCCTGAATTTTTCTGTCACTCTTAACAGAAGCTCAGTGTTCCCTAACAGAAGCTCAGTGTTCCCTAAGCATTGTGTTTTCATTTCCCCCTCAGTCTTGAAACCACTAATAAACTTTGATTTCTATACTGAAAAAAGAAGATGAGTCTGAGAAAAAGCTCCCAGGGAAGTGGTGTCTCTGGAGCCCGGTGGAGAAAATGTTTCAAAAGAATGGAATACTGAGAAACTAAGATAACTAAGAAATGACCACTGGATTTTTGTTGTGCAAAACCCCTTTCTCTGAGTGTCACACTTTTCAGACATAGTTGTAAGGAAAGCAAATGCTATTTGAAATGGTACCTATCTGCAGCACTTTTGAGCACCAGGGAAGTAATAATTTATTATAAGCATATAATATATAATTTATACTTTAATATTGTACTTTAAAATATGCTTTTATTACATGGGGGCTATGGACCCTGTTTAGGAAAAGACATTGAGAATCTCTTTGGGTGTGAAAGGTAAGGCTATCCTAGGACATGTTCTAGAGGATGAGGGCCAAACAGAGAGAGCTGAATTGCAATGGACAATAAAGTGAGATGAGCGGAGGGCAGGAAGTCATTTAAAAAAGATAAAAAAGAAGCATGACTTTAGAAAGCCGAATACTCAGGCAAGTCAGCTTAAAATGGCATAAAAACCTTCCGTGGACTTCTGCATTCGATTCCGGATTCCTCCAGGCTTGCATGACTCCTCCGTTTCCCTTCTGCTCACTTTGATACTCTATGCTCTTCAGTTCCCGTGGCTTCTCCATCCCATTTTGATTCCATATAGTACATAGTAATAGGACATAAATATCAAGAACTTTCTAGGTGCCACAGACTATTTCTAGTGCTTGATGCATATCACTTCATTTAATCTTCCTAACGACCTACCCCATGAAGTAGCTCCTATCATCACTGTCATTTCGATTTTAAAGATCAGGAAACTGTGACACACCGAGGCTAAGTTACTCATGATTAAATCGCAGGGCCAGGATTTGAACCCAGTCTGGCTTCAAAACCTAGATTCTTAATCATTAACTGCTGCTCTTATTTTCCTTTTAGGGTTTTGAATTTGTCAACCATCTACTCAGGCTTGGACTTTGGCTGCCCTTTGCCCTAACCCTAGAACATGACTTGTATTATTAATTTGTGGATCTGACCCACCCTCATAGAAACCCTACCCTGAGCCAGATAAGAGAAGGGAGATAAGCAATGTTCTTTTATAGCCCTGGGCCTTTTCCAACATAGTTCCTCTTCCCAGAATGTTACTTTTTTCCCTTCTCTGACTGATTTCTTTGTACAAGTTGTTTACTTCTTCCTCCATGTGCCTGTAGTTCTTTGAACTTACGTTCACCCTATATCACCATTCCTGGTAGATGTCTAGCTTCGCCCTCAATTGTGAGCTCCTCAAGGCAAGGACCGTATCGTATTCATCTTTGAGTCTCCAGCACTGTGTGGAACACAGTAGGGTACAGTGTTTCTTGACTGACTCAATGAAGGTGCTAGAAAATGAAGGTTGCTATGAGTCAGAACCGAGTCGACGACACCTGACAACGGCAGAAACAAAACAGAACACTATCTCCTGTGTGTGAACAATATGATTTTGTCACAGTCTTGATGGCTGACATAAAAAGGACAGTACTTTTAAAAGAATTTTCTTAACCTCCAACCTTGAGATCTTTATCCCAGTGTTTTGCCATTTTATATTATTATTTCACAAACCTCTCTCTATGCCCTTGACATTAATTTTTGGAATCAAAAAGGCACACATTGCACATTATTACCATTCATTTTTTATTGAAATGAATTCTATGGAAACATGACTACTTGATTAAAGTTCTATGGTTAAAAAAAACAAAAAGATACAGGCCACCAAAAGAAATTTCATGAAAAGATTACTCCAAGTACAAAAAGATGAAAGGTAATTTTTGGTTTGTTTTAAAGACTGACGTGGTCACCATGACTTGCATTTGAATATTATTTCAGAGGGACAAAAAGGACTCAACTAGGGAAGCCAAAGAAAATGAACCACAAAAATAGAGTTTGAGCTAATACAATATCTTACTCTGAAAGGAAAAATTTCTGGCAATTTTCTTGTTCCTAAAGAACCAATCATGTGGCAGATCTTGTAAAATTTTATATTAGTTCTTCAGTTTCCTGAACTTGGGATGAGACTACCTCACCATTCACCAACTCTTGCACAATTGTCTTGACTTTTTGAGTTTTGGCTGGGTCTAAAGATAAGGATGAAAGAAAAGGTTGAAAAGTTAGTGTTTCAAATATTAATCCAAAAATTAATTGTTATTTAACTTAAGATTCTAAATTAGGTATTGGCTGATATAATCCATGAAATTTAAACTTTCAGAAGTGACATATTTTTTAAAAAATGTCTTATCCAATGGAAATGAAATATGTTGAGTGTTGTGTACAGAAGAAAACATTTTTCTTTTCAAATATTTAAATGTTGGTTACGGTACTTAGAATACCTCTTTGTATTTTTTTTCCCCCTGGACTTGCCAAACTTTTAATACAGTACAGACTACTCATTTTTTATAGGATGGCACAAATATTTTTTCTTGCTCAGAATACAGATACACTTGAAATTATTACTACTGCAACATTGAATGAAATCTTCCAGCTCGAATCATTCATAAATGTGATTCTGACTTATTCTAAGTGACTCTTAGGGAATCTGCTTACCTTTGGAGGAATCAATTGACTGTGCTTGAGATTCGGAGTCTGTCACAAATGAAATTTCATCCAACCCATCACTGTAAAGAAAACAAGGGAGGATGACATCATACGATGCTTTCTGGAATGAGGAGGAATAAGGAGAGTGTGCTATTTGAGCCGGAAATTTGAATGATACTTAAAACTGTGGCCGGATGATAACCCAAATTTCTTGATTAATAATGGTTGGTGCACCCTGAGAGACATCAATTGGTGCAATGCACCTTTAGTTTCAAACCATGCCTAAAACGGGCTTTCATAGTGCAGTTAATGGAAGATCAGGTCTGAGAAACTACATTTCTCAATTTATAGAGTTCTTCTCACTATTCATACCTGCTATTGCTTTAGAAAGTTTGCTACAGAAGGTCTGAGACGGTTCGGATGGCTATTCGATGTTTTCATTCTCGGCATCGGGTCGTCGATGTCAGAAACTGAAAGCCTGATTTTCTAGCACCTGGAAGTACTCACTTACAATATGCCTCTGTCTTTGGTGCGTTTGTTCACGGCAGCATTTTATAAATGATTATCAAGTAAGACAAGGGGATGAACACATTTTGCAAAGTCTAGAGCATTTACTGGCACTCTGGTGGTGCAGTGGTTAAGAGCTCGGCTGCTAACCAAGAGGCTGGCAGTTTGAATGCACCAGCCGCTCCTTGGAAACCCTATGGGGCAATTCTGTTCTGTCCTATAGGGTCGCTATGAGTCAGATCGACATGTCGGTGATGGGTTTTTTTTGTTGTTGTTTTGTTTTGCTTTTAGAGCGTTTAATAAGTAAAAGGCATATCTTTATTAGATTTCTTATTTTTTCTGTCAACTAGAGAACCTCTCCCTTCCTTCTATTGCAGCAAACACTGCATCCGCTGTTGATCAGCAAAACGGGTCTACCGTTAGTCAGCAATGGAAGTTATCTTCCACCTGTTATCAGATTTACCCCTTGACCTCCCCGTCCAGCAGGCGGCGGTAGGTCTCGATCTCCAACTCCAGGCGGGCCTTGACGTTCAGCAGCCGCTGGTGGTCGGCGTTCTGGCGCTCGGCGTCGGCGCGCACTTGCTGCAGCTGCTCCTCCAGGCAGCCGATGAGCTGCTGCACCTGGTCCAACTGGCCACAGTAGTCACCCTCGGTTTCGGCCAACGAATCCTCAAGGGATTTCTTCTGCAGTGGAAGGGAAATGGCACAGATTTACTAATGGAGTGGACAGTCAAGTGGGCTAACATATTTTGGATACAGCATTGTCTTGGGAAGTTGAAATGATTCTCCTTTACGTCACACCTACCATGGCGAGCTGGGACTGGAGCTCGATCTCGAGGTTTTGAAACGCGCGCCTCAGCTCGGTGACCTCACTCTTGCTGGAGTGAAGCTGCTCCTTGTTGGTGCTGATCTCTTTCCTGAGCTCCCCGCTCTGCAACAGCAAAGAGGTGGTGAGGCGACGTGAGCGCTCCAACCTCAACATATTACAGCGAAAGTATCAAAGCCTTTTGTTTTGGTTTGTGTAACCTTTTCAGTGAACCAGGCTTCCGCGTCCTTCCGATTCTGCTCAGCGATGGTTTCATACTGCGCCCTCATGTCGTTGAGAAGTCCGGTGAGGTCCACTCCAGGGGTGGCGTCCATTTCTACGCTCACCTGGCTAAGGCTGCACTCCCGGAAGCTTTGGAGCTCCTGGGGACAGCAGATGAGACAAAAGGGTGCCAGTGGTGCATTCTGACCTTCATGGGCCCTGGGCACTTTGCCTTCATGGACCCCTTCCTCCATAAAAAATTATATTTTACCGCTGGATTGGGATTGGGATAAAGACAAATATATCAATACATTAAAACATTTCCTTTACCTAAAAGTTCATGTCTTCTTCTGATTTCAAAAGAACTTAAAATGTTTTTGTGGGCCCCTAGAAGTATCACAGGCCTAGGTGCTGTGTCTACTGTGCCCAATGAATAAATTGGCCCTGGAGGGTCATCTGCAGGGTGGAGGGGCCTAGTGTTTGCCCAGAACACTGGAGGCTTTCAACTATCCCTACCAAACTAAGAGCTGCAGACAGTACCTAGGATTGCACACCACTCGTGCCATTGAAAATCCTGCAGAAACCTTTGTAGAGCCCTATTGCCAGGGTCGTGATAGATGTCCATTCTGTCTACCAGCCGGCTACTTGTGGTATAGTAGGGTTTCATGATGTGTGTGTGTGTGTGTGACACATATTATTAATAGACTGTTGTTTTTTAGCTTTTAAAATACCCTATTTAAAAAAAATCACTAAATCAAGACAATTAGAGTTCTTATTTGTCATTACCTAATGATTGAAGTTGCAAAATCAGAAAGTGCCTCTGATCTGTTAAACGTAACAGGAACCCCCATCGACACCACGTATGCACACACAGTCCCAGAAATCCCAAATCGCCAGTTTAACAGGGAGCTAAGTATCCTCCATATTTGTTCTAACTTGAGATTTATAAATTAGAAATTGTATTTTTTGGGTCTAGGAGAAAAATACCAGCCTAGAGAGGCTGCTCTTTCTGGCTGACCTCCTCGTGGTTCTTCTTCAGGTAGGCCAGCTCTTCAGTCAGACTCTCGATCTGCATCTCCAGGTCAGATCTGGTCACAGTCAGCTCGTCCAGCACCCTGCGCAGGCCATTGATGTCGGCCTCCACGCTATGGCATAGGGCCAGCTCATTCTCGTACCTGGAAGGCAAATACAAGACAGTTTGGGGAATCAACACAACCCTTTGAACAAGGTCCCTGCCATCTTTGGGGGCTATATTATGCATAAGTTTGTACGGCTATTTAAAAATAGCAGCACTGCAATATATTTTTTGCTTTTATAACTTTTTCCTTTTATTAATGATAGCCTACTGCTCAGTTGGAGAGAACAACTCAAGCAGTACTGCATCCCAAGGGAACGAATTCCCCTTTGCTATGAACCTAGCGGCCCCTTTCTAGGTGAAGTTTCTGATGGTATCCGAAAAGCAGTTGAAAAGAAAATAATCATTTGTCTTTTTGCTTAGCTTTTATGATTTAATTTAAAGCATTGATCTTTTGTTAGGTTTTACCAAGATTTTACAGGTTCGGGACTGTCACCCCTGCAACTTCCTGTGGAAATTTTGTGGAGCAAAAAGAAAATTCGTATTTCTTCCTTATGCCAGGGAGGGTAGGGTATGGGGAAGAAAAGGGAAATACAAAAATAAGTGTGTGATTAATATTTTAGTTCTATGTGTCATCAGTAAAACAATCGTTTCATTAAACCCCAGGCAAAAAAAAAAAAAAAAACATTATTAATTCATTTTGATACAAGGAAAGTTGAGATATAGGACATTGGTAAAATTATGTCACATCATGAGTCAAAGGCAAAGTACAAATACGGTGATTCATAGTCCTAGGTTTAAGTAACTTACAGCTTCAGGTCTTGCAATGTGAATTGTGTTAGAATCTAATTACTTTCCAGAATGACCTATGTGAATTGCCAAAACACAAAATGTATAGAGCATGTGAACCTCAGAAGGGTGGAAATATTTATCCATCAACGAAGGCAGGAAAACAGGGAGTAAGAAGAAATGGTGGGACATCAATGATTGTTTTTCTTTTATTTGACTCACTTTATTCGGAAGTCGTCGGCAGCCAGTCTGGCATTATCAATCTGCAGGAGGAGCTGGGCGCTCCCGCTGCTGGCAGAAATGATCTGGCAAAATAGGGGGACACACACAAAATGAGACCCTAAAATACTAACATTATTTTTTTTTTGACAGGAAGAGTTTTTAGGTTACTTTAAAATGCTAAGGCAGTGTTGGAGCCCTGGTGGCACAGTGGTTGAGCTCTGTTGCCAACCAAAAGGTCAGCAGTTTGAATCTACCAGTCACTTCTTGGAAACCCTATGGGGCAGTTCTACTCTGTCCTGTAGGGTCGCTGTGAGTTGGAATCGACAGCAATGGGTTTAAGGCAGTTTCATTTTTTTCTAAGAAAATACATTTATAAAACAGTATTAAAAAATTAAGAAACACATTTCCTACAAAAAAAAAAGTGGTGGGAATACAGTCACTTTATGGTAAGTGATGAAATGGAATGAAACATCTTGAAATGATCATTGCTCAATACAACCAAATTGAAAAATATCTCTTAAGTTTTAAGTGATTATCACTGTAAGATATTGTAGTAGTAAAAACTAAAGGTAAAAAATAATTCCTGAAACTCTTCCAAAAAACATATTCTTACCTTATTCCTGAGGTCTTCAATCAACGTATAATATTTACTGTAATCACTCTGTGACCTGGGGTCTCCAATCCCAGACCCTCGTGATTCATACCATCCTCGAATTTTGTTTTCTAGCTCAGTATTAGCCTCTTCTAGAGCTCGAACCTTATCGAGATAGGAGGCCAATCTGTCATTAAGATTTTGCATGGTTTCCTTTTCTGATCCAGAAAGAAGGCCTGCATCATTGCCAGCGAGAATACCTACGGAGCCACCTCCTGGGCTTCCCCAAAAGCCAGTCCCCAGGCCTCCAAAGCCACCCCCCAGGGAGCCTGCGTAACCAGTGCCCAGTCCTCCTGCAAAGGAACTTGTAGAACCACCACCAAAGCCAGAGCTAGAGCCAAACATGGAAGCAGCAGAAAAGCCTCCCCCACAGCTACCTCCAAAGCCAAAGGTGCTTCCCCCATAGACACTTCCAGCAGTGGAAGTGGACATGCCCCTGACTCTGCCTGCTGTCCCACTTTGGGAGGACAGTCGCTGGGACAGCCCAGAGGTGCGCAAAGAGAGTGACATGGTGTTGCCGGGGAAATCCACAGCCCAAGTAGCAACAACCCGCGAAGAAGAAGCAGTGTCAGGAAGGCAGAAAAGTCAACCTTTTATAGGCTGTTGCAGTTGAAAAGTTCACTCTCTCCACTCAAAATTTGGTGCCCCCCGCCTCTTTTTGTGGCCATCTCAGCAAGTAAATGAGTTATACAAATTGAAAATTCATTGGTGTAGAAATAATTCAGCAATTCTGCCCATCACATATTTGTTAAACAAAAAAGAGATCTGGGTGGAGTAGAGAGGTTGTCATAAAGAATTTTTCTTCTCCAAATTATTGCCTGTCTTCCCAGCACCGCCCAGTAGCTTATACATAGTAGGAAAGCAAAGATTGCTTGTTGAATGGGTAAATTAATGAATGTTTCTTCCTAAACGAAACTGTTGAGTTTTTCACTCATCTTTCCTATTTGTTTCATTTAGAAAACTGTCCAGTCATGATAATAGTGTTATCTTTTAGTGGAATATAGTTTCAGAAGAGTTCTGAAATGTACTCATGGAAGGTCAGGAATAGATGTGATTTCCAGGTTGACGTTGGATTTGAATTTTCAGGGATTTTCAAACATCGTCATTAGGATGTTCAACAGAAAGGCCAAACCAAAACCAAACCCATTGCCAACAAGTTGATTCTGACGCTTAGCGACTCTATAACACAGAGCAGAACTGCCCCATTTTTCCATGGAGTGGCTGGTGGATTCAAACTGCTGACCTTTTGGTTAGCAGCTGAGCTCTTAAGCAGTATGCCACCAGGGCTCCAATTCAGAAAGAAGCCAAAAAACCAAACCTGTTGCCATCGAGTCCATTCTCATAGTGACCCTATAGGACAGCGTAGAACTGCCCAATAAGGTGTCCAAGGAATGGCTGGTGGATTCGCACTGCCAACATTTTGGGCCTTGCCTGATTGATCGTTCACTGCTCTGTGCCCAGCACTTAGTATGTTTATTCCTTTAACAGATAATGCACGTAACCAGTAACCAGTTGCTGTTCAGTTGGAGATGACTGACTCATGGTGACCCCATGTGTGTCACAGTAGAACCGTGCTTCCTAGGGTTTTCAGTGACTGTTTTTTCAGATGTGGATTGCCAGGCCTTTCTTCCTAGGCAACTCTTGGTGGACTCTAACCTCCATCCTTTGTGTTAGCAGCCAACCGTGTTAACCTTTTGTACCACCCAAGGAAGAACTCCATTTGCACTTCATGGTTGCTCAGTAAAACCATTTGCACATAATTGTTGCTCAATAAAACCATTTGCATATAACAATTGCTCAATAAATGTGTTAACTGAATGAATGGATTGGATAAAAACTTCAGATTTGATTGTCATTATCAACATAAGTAAGAGGAAACACACTTTTCAAATCAAGAAAGAATTAAAGCCTCAAGTTAAGAAGCCAGTGACTCCTTTCAGTTGACTGCTTCGAAAAGGGGTAAAATCTGTATAGAACAAACTATGCAATGTTTTGTTTTTTAATTTTTGTGAAAGCTTTGCAAAATGTGCTTCGAAGAATGAAAAGCCAACCAGCCCTGTGCCATCCTCATGATCTTTGATATGTTTGAGCCCGTTATTGGAGCTATTGTGACAATCCGTCTCATTGACGATTTCCCTTGTTTTTCGATGACCCTCTGCCAAACACAATGGCCTTTTCTAGGGCTTGGTCTTTCCTGATGACGTGTCCAAACTAAACAGAACTTAATCTTTAATGTGTTAAAATGTGTTGTTTAATGTTCATTTAATTTGAAAATGACTATGCCCTGGATAACTGGTATGCTTTGACCAAGATTTTTTCTGAATCCAGTTATGAATGGAGAGCAACTTCGAAGTGGAACGACAAATATTTCTCTTTCAATGGTTTTGTGTGTGTGTTGTGTGTATTGTGTGTGTGTGGTGGGTCTGTGGTGTGGTGTGTGTGTGTCAGCGTGTGTGTGTGTTTGGTTGGGGGAGCTAAGTTAAATAAATATCAAGCCTCCATTTTACCGTTTTTGGAAGTGAAATGATTTTCTTTGACAGCTGCCTAAATGTATAGGCAGGCAGAAATGCACAAAGCAAACAATCTTGGGCATGTTGGCAAAGTGATTATATTACATAAGTTGAGGAACAGAGAACTCAAATGAAGAGTTAATGCTTTCCATTTTTGTCGAGTTCAGGGAATATGCAAAATGGAGAAAATTACTAAAGTGGCATTTGTAAATCTTTAGATTGTTATGAAATAAAGCAAGTGATCATCTTTTCATGCCAGGCTGGTTAGTTTTCTGGTCTTTGACTGCATGATTTCCACCTGAGTTCCATTCCTTAAAGCTACGTCTTCCACTTTCTGCACTTCACTCACCACTTTGTTCATAACACCTTTCTCTCTTGCTTCGAATAACATTTTGAGATTCTGTGAGTGAGTGAAAGAATACTGGGTTTCCTATGTTTTATATTGTGCTTTGGAGATGAGGGATGAACAGGGACCCCCAGAGGACATGGTTGGGTCTGACCTCTGGACTTTGGTGCTCAGTGGTTCTTCAAAGCAGGGGAGGATTTTGGAGGCCGTATGTGGTGGGAGGGAGGAAGAAAGTAAAATAATACCCCGGGATGGTACACGACAACAATAGCAACAAGGGGAATCTTAGAAATAAGTCTAGTGGAGAGAAAACAGAGATGTTTAAAGGGGAATTAAAAAAAAAAAGAAATCACTAACCTATGCTTTAAGTTAGAATTGTTATCTGAGGGTGTGATCAGGTACTAGAGACTACCCCTGAGTGGGTAAAGGTGAGAGCAAAAGATGTCATGGGGATTCACTTTGACCACGTTTTAATTTTATATCATACTTATCATTCTCCTTTTTAGATGTTGCAGGCAGGGCTCTGTGTAGAAATAGTACCTCAAGTCCAGAAAAAAATACTTTTTTCCATCCTAACCTCACCTCTAGGGGTTCTCTCTGAGCTTGATAGCTTAACTTTTGCCCTGGTGATTCCATATCAAGTGATGAAATACATTGATGGTAATTCTAATGCGTGATACCAAAAAAAACCCAAACCCATTGCCATTGAGTCGATTCTGACTCATAGCAACCCTACGTGTGATAAAGAGCCCTATGTTTATGGACAAGGAACCTTCCCTGCATCTGTATACCGGTCAGAAGTAGGAGCATGCTGTTCTGTTTTGTAGCTGGTATAAGAAGTACAGATGCGGGGATTAATGTTTCACTTTCATACATACTATAGGTTCACTGAATCAGAATCGACGGCAATGGGTTTGGTTTTGGATTTTAGTTCATACAGTAACTACTGGTATAACTATCTGGTTACAGATGTATGTATAGTCTTGCCTACTTTCTTTGATAGATTGACTGGAAGAAAAAGCAGTGAAGAAGTCTTCATTTTTCTGATGTGAAATTAATTGTGGTGTGATGGATTGCTTTTGTGTGGCCTTTCTCACCGTGGTCTTGTAACTCCTACCGAAGGGACTGGGTGGGACTGTGCAAATAGGGTAATTGTGGCCCACCAAGGGGATTGGTCAGTTTTGCCATCCTGCTGGGCTTGAAATGAGCCATCCCTGAGGCAGGAAGGAGATCCCACAACCACCAAGCCAGGAGCAGATAGCACGTCCTTTGGACCTGGGATCCCTGCGCTGAGAAGCTCCTGTAACCAGGAGACAGAGAGATAGAGTTGTAACCCTGAAGACAGTGAGAAGCCAGAAAGCTGAGTGCCTGGGGTCTCTCTGGGGACTTACTAACCGAAAAAAAAAAACAAACCCATCGCCATCAAGTCGATTCTGACTCACAGCGACCCTATAAAACAGAGTAGAACCGCCCCATAGGGTTTCCAAGGAGCGTCTGGTAGATTTGAACTGCTAACCTTTTGGTTAGCAGCCGTAGCTCTTAACAACTACATTACCAGGGGACTTACTGGCAGGGGCTAAAAGAGCTTTGTAACACTTGCCTGAACAGGGCAGAGGCCTAGGGCTAGAGAGAGGTGTGCCTGCAAGCACAGCTGAAAAGAGGCTGTCCTGATGGAAGAACTGTATCTTGAATGTTCCTGAGCCTGAATTGTAACCTGTTACTTCCCTAATAAACCCCGTAATCGAGAGTATTGGCTGTAAGCTCTGTGTGGCTATAGCAATGAATTATTGAACCCAGCAGAGAAGTTGAGAGTGCCATGAGGGGGACGGTTGGTGTCAGAAATGCTAAAGATGATGGAGAGAGGAGGCCTGTCTGACCTCTGCCTTATAGGAATGAGCCTTGGGCTGTTGATCTGGATTCTCCTTCCACCTTGTGAACGGAAAGGAGGTCAGATGCCTCCCTTACGCTGTTTTTACAGTAATAACCCTACCTCTTTAACAAAGAGTCATTTTTGCCATATGACAAATAGCTATGCCTAGTCAATCTCAAACCCATGTACTCAGGTTTTTTGTTAATCAGATTCATAGTCTCTGGTATTTGCTTGTCAAAGATTTCAGACCATTCAGGAATGAGTCCTAGCAGGTGAAAAAAGAATTCACTTCCAAAAGTTCTTCACATTTTAAAAAGCAACTTACTAGTTGAAGTGGCTTTGACAAAAATTAGGAAAAAAATGAGGCTGAAACCTCTTTCCTTCTTTGAAAAGCAAGGAAATGCGAAGGAGTGGAAATAATAGCTTTTCCGTTGTGCTGAATCAGGTCTTGTGTGGGATGTTAGGTAACAAAGCTGGCCGTTTGCCACAGCTGGGTGTTGTGCAGTGTCTGACTAGTGAAAAGGACAATTAGAAAATGACAGAAGGACAGGCAAACACTCATTCTGAGTGTGGCTCAGCAATTGTCATGTAATAAGCTGCTTAAGAGAGTATGGTGGCTTTAGACACGTAGCCCTGAGGTTCAGTTTTGTTTCATTATTGGTGACTGTGTGACTTTGGGAAAGTGTTATCTCCTGTCCTCATTTATTATCCTCATTTGTCTTCATAAGTAAAATGGGGAGGGTATGATAAGATTAAACCACGTGAAATTGCAATTTTTTGAAGGTCAGAAATGAGCGACTATTGGCAAGTGCGTGATTCAACGTAATCGTTTCTACCTCATGGGATTATTGTGAGGATTAAATGAGAAATGCATGTAAAATGCCTGACCCACTGTTTGGATCCTAGTAAGTGCTCAGTAAATTATTAGTGGATGTTATTATTTTTAAGTGAGCCACATAATTATTTTTCATATAGTAATATAACTAAAAATCCTACTTATTTATAAACTTCTATATAAAATTCTAAGTCCAAGCTATCTATTTACTATAATACAATGAAACGAGGCAAATTTATTTGTCCCGTTAAATAGTTGCAAGGCAGTTATTGCTCACCGAAATGCAAGCAAGGGTGAACATACAGTATGTGGGCTTTTGTATCTGGCGTATTTCACTTAGCATAATGTTCTCAGAGTTCATCTGTGTTGAAGCGTAAGTTAGTTTTTCATTCCTTTTTATTGCCAAATAATATTCCATTGTGTAGATAGACAACCTTGAGCTTATCCATTCATAATTGATGGACATTTGGGTGGTTCTCCTCTTTCTGGCTGTTGTGAATAATGTGATATGAACATTCATGTACAAAAGACCACATATTGTGTAATTCCGTATATATGATACAGAGCCCTGGTGGTGAAGTGGTTAAGAGCTCAGGCTGCTGACCAAAGGGTCGGCAGTTCAAGCCCACCAGCCACTCCTTGGAAGCCCCATGGGGCAGTTCTACTCTGTCCTATAGGGTCGCTATGAGTCAGAATCAACTGACAGCACACAACATATATATGAACTGTCTGTAATAGACATCTCCTTAGAGATTGGAAGTAGTGGTCGCCAGGGGCTGGAGAGAGAGGGAATGGGGAGTGACGGGGGATAGGTATGGGGGTTCTTCTTGGGGTGATGAAAATGTTCTAAAATTAGATAGTTGTGATGGTTGTACGACTCTGTGACTATCCTAAAGACCACTGATCTGTATACTTTAAAAGGGTGAATTTTATGGTGTGTGAATTATGCATCAATAAACCTGTTGTTTAAAAAAACGGTGAGAAGCAGTTCATAACATACATTCACCACATAAGAGAGCACACGGTGATTTATATGATTTATACCTTGAGAAGGGCTTCACTGATTTTGCTTTTCATCTATTCCCATTTCCAGCCCAGAGTGCTTCATTAGTCTGCTCAGCATTATGATTGGAATTTGACCCTCAAACTATTCAAAGAGTTGAGCTGAGTTTTTAAAAGGCAGTGGAGACAATGGAAAAAAGGAGACATAACTCAGTAGCAGAATTGTACTGATACTAAAAGGTAGTGAGATCAACCAAAAAAAAAAAAAAAAAAAGCTCAGTGAGAAATCCAGTCCCCACCCCCAAAGGAGGTTTTGCAATTTAGAAACGGGAAAGGTTAAAGAGAGAGGTTTATTTGTAATTTGCATAGGCTCTGTGCTCCGAGGTTTAGGGTAATTGCCGCGCAATGTAATTTTCAGCATCATTACCTACGAATTGATATTAGGTGGTCTATAGCTTGTAATTAATATGCTTCACAGTAAAGATGGCAGTAATGATGTTTTAAATATCCTAGTGCTCGTTTGATTTCATCTTGCAGGCAATTTGTAGCTCCTCTGAGTAAAACACTTATGTTCAATTACAGAGACTGATAAATAGGCTTTTTCTCCTTTCTAATCATTCCAGGGTATTACTAGTGTCTTCTAATAGCTGCTTCTTGTAGGGAGCAAAAATTATAGCCACAGTTCTTTCAAAATTTCAGCAGCATCTCCTTCTGGCCGCTGTTTACATAAGTTGTTCTACCTCTTGGATGTTGGTGGACACAACCTGGCCATCCACTACTTCTTCCACGATAGTCTTAATCTTCCTGGTTTTCTTGACATCTGAATTGAGATTTCAGCATTAAATGTTAATTCAGACACATAACTGCTAGCTTACGACTATTTTAAATTATGATCATTTTTTACTTTTAGGAAAACAGTGGAATCCATTCTCTTTCTTAAATAATTCCAAACCCATTTTATAGACAAATGCAGAAAATGTGCCACTCTCCCCAAATTTAAAATTTCCTACTCTCTCCACCCCCAAACAGAAATATTTAATTAGGCAAAATTCATATTTTAATCTTATTTTTTTAATAGACTCTCAGGATGTCTCAGGACAGAAACAGCACAGGCATGAAAATTCCCCTGCCATAGGGAGTGTGACAAATTTCCCATATGAAGAGTTCCTTCATGCAATGTACATGATTTTTAGAACTCCTAGTATCAAGTCAAGGAGCCCTGTGGCGCAGTGGTTAAGCGCTCACCTGCTATCTGTAAGGTTAGCCATTTGAACCCACAATCCACTCCCTGGGAAGAAGATGTGGCAGTCTGCTTCTGTAAAGATTTACTGCCTTGGAAACCCTAAGGGGCAGGTCTATTCTAGCCTATAGGGTCACTAGGAGTCAGAATCACTCGATAGCCATGGGTATGATTTTTGGGGTGTCATGTCCGCTTACTTGAGAGTTGGTCTCACTTAACTTTTCACCTGTGGCTAATAATTAGTGGAAAGTTGCACAAGAAATATATGAAAATTACAACACTTACCTATCTCTTCTAGGATGCTTAACTGATCTTCTGAAGTCCTTTTTATTTGGTTGTTTTTAAGGAAAGAAAAAGAAACAGAAACAACAGTGTTATTGCCATTCCTGCTTTTTGTCTTTCAAAGCAATTATAGCTTGATTGATGTGTGTTTTAGTGCTGTTCCTGTATTTATTTCCCTTTTTATGATGCTGGTCGCTTCCAACTGGAGTGTCTTACGTTTTAACTTGAAAACACATAGCTTCAAAACTGGTTCATTAACATATGTTAGAAGTTTTTGTAATGAATATAACAGAATTACAATGGAAGTTTAAATCTTCTGTTCTCTTGTTGACTTTCTTGGGTGCGGTACTTGGGGACCTTTGCTGCTGAAATGCTGTTGGTTCTCAAATGAGCTCTCAGGGACCTCTGTGGCCTATTGTTCAGCTCATGAGTTCTCAAATGAGAATTAAAATGTGTTTATATATACTTATTGTGCTTTCAATGATGTATTAATTATAAAAGTTAAGATAAGAATAGACTGTGTCACATGGATAACCATCTACTAACTTAGTCTGACCACATGACCTCAAGTACAAAGACTATTTGATATTTTTGGGGTGTGCATACCTTTTGGTATATTTTTGTTTTGTTGCTGATTTGTGTGTGTGTGTGATTGCTTTTGTGTTAAGGATTGCATTGATGCTGGATAATGAGTGACAGAGTTTAATGTGTGGACATTCAAATAGAACAGCATATAGAAATTGACACATATTCCTTCTAAAAGCCTTACTTTACATCATCTCCTTCCAAAAGGCGGCGATAAGTAGCAATTTCCTGCTCAAGCCTGGTCTTTACGTCAAGAAGAATATTGTATTCATTGTTCTGGCGTCCTGTGTCGTTTCGAATCTGCATCAGCTGGGCTTCTAGGGAGCTTAGCTGTGCCTGGATGGTGGCCAATCGGCCAGCGTAACGAGCTTTGGTCTCCTCTAATGTACGCTCCAAAGATGCTTTCTATGAACAGAAGAAAGAGTGCATTTCTTTGAAGATTTCTGTTAAGAGGTGGCTCAATTTCAATTTCCCTTGAAAATAAACTCTGCAGGTAGCCATTGTGGACATCATGTATTTCTAGTTTTCTCTCTCATTCCTTCCATCTAGGCAACCTCAACCTTAGCTGGGATTACTAGTTCTTTTTTGTTTTTAACTTTGTGCCCACTGTTCTCTCAGTGTGATATATTATTGTTTTCAAATATTTGTCCTCCCTCCCTGTGAGAGGCTTTGTCTCCCTGTCTGTTATATCAGGGTTGGCCATGTGATTTCTGGTATCCTCCATATGAGAGCATTAGAATTCCTCATCCCATTGATAGGCGTGGCCATGTGACTTTTTTTTGGCTAATGAAATGCAGATGGAAGGTACAAATGCCTTTTCTGAGGAGAAGCTTTAAGAGCCATCATGTGGTCCAGCCACTGCTCTTTTCTACCTGCCACAACTCTGGCATGTCCCAGATAGGGGCTACTCCTGTAGCTTATCCCTGGAGTCAAAATGTCACGCAGCAGAGCTGCAGCCAACCCGTGATGGATGTGGTGGTGGTGGTGGTGTAAGCAATTATGATTGGGGGATTGTTTGTTACCACAGGGTAACTTATCATAAACTGACTGATTTGCTTAGCCTGGAATGTCTTTTCCCTCATTCTCCAACTTTAAAATTCATCTCTATTTTTAAGATCTAGCTCAAATGCCCCCTCTTTCCCTGTGAAGTCTTCCAGATCTTCTCTTTCCTCTGCATTCCTGCAGTACATTGTCCTTTCCTCGATTTCTTTCTGCCCTTTAATGATCATCAGTTGTTTGGCCTGTTTCCCTGCTAGCTCTGTGAGGGGAGGGGTTATTTCTTATAGGTCTTTGCATTTCTAGAATTCCTAAATTCCTAACACACGTGCTTAGGAAACACACGCTGGGTTGAGAAATGGAAGTATGCTTTACCATACTGAGCTGGGAGTGGAGCTCAATCTCCAGGCTCTGGTAGGTGTGTTTCAGGTCCTTTACTTGAACCTCAGTTCCTTTTATTTCTTCAGTGCTCCCTGTGACTTGTTGCTGCAGAGCTTCAGTCTAAAGTTCCAAAAAGGAAAAAGAAAAAAGAAAGAAAGGAAATGAGTTATTTCTTTCTGGAGAGCAATTTCAACTCATTTGCTCACCCTTTAGAATCATACTATTACCTGTCTTTCAAACTGTTCTCTGACCTCTTGAAGGTTCTTCTGGGCCAAGTCTTCGTATTTCTGCCTCATTTCATTCATGACCGCACTGAGGTTGAGGCCTGGAGCAGCATCCACCTCCACATTGACAGTACTGCCCAGATGCTTGCGCAGGCTGTTGACTTCCTGCAAGAGTGAAAATACAGATTCATTTTAGTCTGAAGCATAGTCTCAGATGAGGCTGAACAGAAAAGACATAGGAAATCTTATGACTTATGGGGAATGAGTTAGGAAGAAAGAAATAACTACACTTATTATGGGCCAGGTACTGTTCTAGGTGATTAACCCATACAACGACCTAATGAAAAGTCAGGGCTCACGTCACTATCGTTGTCATCTTATTCAGCATCACCATTACCGCTACCACCGCCGCCGCCTCCTCCTCCTCGTCCTTCTCTTCTTCTTCTTTCTCCTCCTTATTCTTATTTTGGGAAATTTCATCATTCCCAGTACCACTTTGGAATATTTTCTTACCTCCTCATGTTCATTTTTGAGGAGAATCAGGTCTTCATTCAGTTCTTCAATTTGGAACTCCAACTCTGGTCTTCGTAGGTTTAGATCATCAAAGGCCTTACGCAGGCCTATAAGATCGTTCTCCACTGTTACTAGTAATGCCCTCTCAGTCTCACACCTGTGAATCAATTAGCATGCAGAGATAATTGAGTCTCTCTGAAGTCATTATAGGAGAGAGAATCTTAATATAATGAGATAGATTTTTATGTAGCATATGAGGAAATCAATTTCAATACCTTCAGTCCCCCTTTATACATTCAGAAAATGTGCATAAGAACCTAGGAATCAGATAATCTGCTCCATACTATAATCTCTGTGATTTGGAGTGACTTGTGAAAATGCAATGTGAAATAACTTTCAAAAGTTCCTGAAAAAAAAAAAGTTTTTTTTTTTGGGGGGGGATAATTTTTGTTTTTAATTGTACTTCAGGTGAAGGCCTACAGAACAAATAGTTTCTCATGAAACAGTAGTACACATATTGTTTTGTGACATTGGTTAACAACCCCACAACATGTCAACCCTCTCCCTTCTCGACCTTTTTTTGTTGTTGCTGTTGAAAATCTACATAGCCAAAGATACAGCATTTCAAAAGTTTCTACATGCACAGTTCAGTGACATCGACT